TCTCCTCAGGCGGGCTGCCCCTCGCCTCCTCCCTGCCTCGGTCTCCGCCTGCGTTGCAGCATCCAGGCCTCGCCCCAGGGGCCACCCTCAACCCCGCTCCGGTCCTTCATCCCCTGCCCGCCTCCGCGCTCGGCTCAGGGGCCCTCGCTTCGTCTGAATTCGGGAGATCGGCTGGGGAAGTGGGGAGAGCGGCATGCTAGACCCGGAGTATTTTGTATTTTTCCCCCGGGGAAACTTGCACGCTGCCCACCCCACCCCCCGCCCCCCATAACCGACTGCAGGGTTAGAGGCGGGATGACTGTCCCTCCGGACCTCGCTGCTTCTCCTGGGCTTCCTGCTGTCCTGGAGTACCTGTTGAAAGCCAAGGGGATTCACCCTCCCTAGGGCTGCTTTGGACTGTTGCAGATAAGGGAGGCCCCTGGCGGGGGTGAGGAGGGGGCGGGGCTGACCCCAGACCCGATGCAAATGACTTGATTGCGAGAGGCCAGACCTGTGTCTCCGATCTCTGGACTTATCTTTTCATCTTTGTTCTGCGGTCACAGCCACACAGCCCCTCCGCAGCCCCTGACACATGACTTCACTGAGACACTTAACCTCTGAACCTCCCCGGTGAAGCGGCAACCCACCCCACCCCCCCCACCCCCAGCCCCAGACAAAACGCGCAGGCAAGGAGATCAAAGGGGACAACCCAAGTGAAAGTGCTTGGTAACCTCCCCCGTCCCCAGGAGAGGGGCTCTGGATGCCCACCCCTCTACCCTGGGGAGCTCTTTTTTGAGTTCCAACTCTGAAGCTGCCGCACTCGCACTCGGGGCGTGAGGGCCCTGGAGTAAGCTCTGAAGCCCATTGGTCAACTGATTCCCACTAAGGAGTGCGTGACTGATAGGCTTTGAACCGATTACAGTCTTGAACGTGAATGTTGGTAATGCTGGGCCACGGGGCAGAGTTTCCAGGGGCAGGAAAGCACTGTCTTTCCTCGTCCACTTCCCTGGAGAAGGATACATCCCTCCAAGGACTTCCAGGATGTCTGGTCCTTTCAACCTGTTCACCAAGTCTCTGGATAAGACTGACGAGGGTCTAATAGAGTAGAGGTGTGACTGGGGAAAATAAAACCAGGATCCACCTTTTCAAAGGGACGCAGAGTGAGTAATGCTTAACCCAAGGGGAGAAGACCTCTAATAGCCCAATTTCTGTAAAACAAAGACAAGGAAAACTCTAAAGGGATTCAGCCTCCACGTTCACCCCTTCAGCTGCCAAAACAGGGTTGGGGGAGGCTGACCCTTCGTGCTGAGAAACCCCACAGGCTCTGCGTTTATGGAATGCTGTTGGAAGGGGCTGTCTGTGTGGGCCTCCTTGGACGCGAGGCGCCACATAAATTTAAAGAGGAAAAAGGCTGAGTCTCTAGTGAGGGTGCGGGGGCCTGGGAAGTGCAGGCCAGAGACAGCAGGAGGGGATGGATAGAGTGTGTGAGGGTCTGGGGGGATTGGCAGAAGCAGGCAGAGAACAGTGAGGGCAGAGCCGGCTGCTTGGACAACTGAGACACCCAGCTGGGAGGAGAGCTCCAGTCCCAAGTGAGAGTTTCCCAGACCACAGCCATGCTCCCGCCTGCACGGAGTATCTGTGCACCAGATAAGGCGGTTTGCCTAATAGCTTTCTTTAAATCAACTCTCGTTTTGTTATTTTGTTTTTACATCAATGTGCTTGTTTTTACAAAGAAATGTTATACCATTACCATAAATGGAAAGCCAGCATGCATTACTAGAAATAGAAGGTCCCATAAAAATAAATACAATGAAAATAAAACAGTGTTATTAAATTCTAACAATGTATATTTAACCGCCATCAAAAAAAAAATGCCAACAAAATACTGCTGCCTGAGGAGGTGCTGAGCCCAAGGCCCCACTCTCTTGTAAAGGGAGATTAACAAGGGCTCGGAAGGTGTTAAAGACACATGAGCAACAAACTGAGACTCCAAGTTGTGATCAAAAGGGTTGAAAGAGAACAGGAAAGGGACCCCCCCCCCCTCCCGGGCGCACACACAGAATTCCAGCTCCTCACAGGCCAGCAGGGATGTTGAAGGCCCACGGATGAACGCCTTCAGTCTTCTCGAAGGCCTCTGATGCCCCACCATCAGGAAACACGATCCTGAGTGTCCAGGCAAAAAGCAGTTGTTAGCCAAAGAACCCCCAAGAGTTGAGTTCCGGACAAGAGGAGGTGATCTTGGTTTTGTAAGAAGTGGGCCTCTCCTCCATAGGGTGACCCTGGGGCAGCCACTCCCTTCTCTGGCCTCAGTGTCTCCACCTGTACAGTGAGGGGCTTGGACAAATGGTCTCTGGGATCCCCTTTGCTACTCTTTGATGAGAGCAAAACAGGAACCAGGCCACGGCTTATCAGGAAATGGAGAAGGAGAGAGTTTCACCGGGGAGGGAGGTGGGGAGGAGGAGGCTCGGAGAGGGAGAAAATGTTGAGGAGGGGTAAGGACGAGGGTCAGCACTCCTCAGGAGGGAGCGAACGGGGTGTCAAGGCCACTGTTGACTGACTGGAGTCTCACAAACCCAGAAGTGGCCCAGCCTAGAAGGTTCTAGATTCCCCATTTACTCATTCTGGAAGGAGCCTTGTAGAGAATCCAGTGTAATCCAACCACTTCCGGCTACAGATGGAGAAACTGAGGAAGAACCACAGACTAGATCCTGGTCATGGTTGGAGAGCTGGGTGTCGAACCAAGGTCCTTTCAACTCTGGGGGGCCCCCCCCCCCCGCCGTGTTTGGGGTTCTAGTAGAAATGGTTCTTCTGAACATATTCAGCTCTCCTCCAAGGGGCTCTCAGACTTTGTTTTTCTCTGACATCTGGAAAAAACGTTGAGCTGGCTTGAAAGACCCAAAGTCGCCAGAGTGCGGCCAGCGCTGGGCAGCCCATGATTCCTGGAGCGAAGCATCCGCACACCTGCACCCTGGGGACACTAATGCAGAGCAAACAGCCCCAAACCAGGAGTCCACAGGCCCAAGTTCCAGGAGTCCACAGGCCCTGGCTTCCGTGTTCCCATTTGTCAAATGACACATCTAGGTGCGATCAGTGGATTTCCAGTTAGACTTACAGTCCTGTCCCAAGTGCCTAAGGAGTGTTGGGCGGAGAGGGGGAGGTCTCCCTCCCAGCTTTCACCAGAAACACGTTCCCTTTTCATCTGTGTTGTATGATGGTGTCTCACATGAGACTTCAAGGAGAAAGTGTCCTTCACTTACAAAGAATTTGAAATCACTAGAAGGGGTGACCTCTCGCTCCTAACCTTTATAAATTTATGGCCGGTTAGACTCTGAGCTTCTCAAGGACAGGGACCCTGCCTTGTCCACGTCTGGCTCCCCAGGACTTTTTAAAGTCAGCGCTCAGAGGGATGTTAGGAGCCAGTTCCTAACCATGCCACCTTGGGCCAGCCACTGTGACCCTCTGAGCCTCAGCTGATACATTTTTAAATGGGAATTGTAACCACATCTCTGGCATTGGATGGCGGTGAGATTCTCAGGGAAAGCTCTCAGCACAGCCCCTGGCACATAATAAGTGCTCAATAAAAGGCAGCCGAATGTAGGAAATGGGTGAATGGAGGGTGCTGGAAGCCCCGGGGTGCTTTCCCCAGGAGGCATCTTCAGTCTCACAACCCAGCATTTCCAAAGCAGTCTGCATTTTAAATATTTAATCATTGCCCCCCTGAGGTTTTTTTTTTTTTTCTGAATTGTTTCTTCTCAATCATTTCCCCCCAAATGACAGTTCATTAAATGTTGCACCGAGCCTGATTGAATTTGTTTCTCTTTGCAATGATTTTCATAGAATAAATTTGAAAATCCTGGGAACGTCCTTTGGGGGGTTGAAGAATATCCCTCCGACAAGCTGCCCCCGGCCACAGCCAGCCTCTAGGAGTGTCGTCAGCCAAGGGCTTGCCAGGCCAAGGTCCTCCTTCCCCCAAGGAGTGGTACTGACTCTCTCCTCACCACCCTCTGGGGGGGGGGGGGGGGGGAGGGGGGAAGACGTAGATTCTAAATGGCTATGCTGGGAGGGACCTGGGGCAGAGCTTCTTGGGTGCTTCCTAGCCCGGCTTTGCAGAAAACAGCTCCCTGGAATAGATCCTACCAGATAGGGAGACTGCTGAACCCTCATCATCTGCCTTCATTTTTGTTGTTGTTGTTGTTGTTGTTGTTGTTAATTAAATGATAGTAATATACAATACTAATAATTACCATCCATCCGGGAGTGTTTTCTGGTGTGGAAGCTCAGGTTGTGAGGGCAGGTAAACCCAGGTTCCAGGCCTGGTTTCTTGGTTCATCAGCTGTGTGGCTTTGGGCAAGGCACTTCCCCTCTCTGTGCTTTTAGACTCCTAATCTTTAACAGGAGGAAAGTGCACCGTGCCAAGCACTGTGACAAGGACTTTCGAACACGGCTCACTTAAGCTTTCTAAGGACTCCATTAGGTAGGGGTGGCTAGGGAGCCTGTTTTTACAGAGACAGAAACCAGAGATCCACCCGAGATCACCCAATAAACAAAGAACTGAAGTTGAAGCCTTTTCTCCTTTCACTTCCTTTCTCTTTTCGCCTCCAGCTGTGGGTTGGGGTGAGGCTCAGAAGTCCTGGGGCCAGCCTGGCATTGAACTTTCCGGCCATGTGGCCTTGGCCAAGCTGAGCCTTCCTCGTCTTCCTCTTCTCAAGGGGAATGATAGCACCTACCTCCCCCCCCCCCCACCCCGCTCCCCGCCACGCCGGGTCACCTATAAACACCGGAGGAGAGGACGTCTGCAAAGGAGGCTTTGGCAACCAGAAAGCACATCACAGGGGCACCTGCGGCTCAGTCTGTGGAGCACCTGACTCTTGATTTTGGCTCAGGTCACGATCCCAGGGTTGTGGGATTGGATTGAGCCCTGTGTCGGGCTCTGTGCTGAGCATGGAACCTGCTTGGGATTCTCTCTCTCTCTCTCTCTCTCTCTCTCTCTCTCTTAAAAACAAACAAAACCACGGCACATACCCAATGTATTTTATTTATTTATTTTTTGAATCACCTTTATCATCCACATAGAGCTGCTGAGATCACATCTGTGAACTGCCTCCATACCTGGGCGCCTGCTTAAGAAGAAACCTGCTTAAGAAGAAAGAATGCGTTGGTCCCCGCCCTCATTTGGACGATTGACAGGGAGCAGTCAGTACAACCAGAAAATTTTTAAATTTAAGACAGCTTGTGCAACCCTCCTCCACAGACAAAAGTGCTGAGGTCAAGCTGCGGTTGGGCAGGGGCGACCCGTCCCAGATCTGCCAGCACAGTTTGCCTTTAGAGTTTAGGGAAGTTTGGGTCCTGCTTTTCCCAAGTCAGTGTTCTGCTGGCCAAACGTCTTGCCTCATTGTTTGCGCTCCGAGCTTTGGTCGCTGGAAGATACCCCCTCTGCCCTGTGAGCTCTTAGTTCCTACCTCTCTGCTCCACCCCAAAGCCTCTTGGGCCCACCCTTCTATGGTCTCGTGCAAACAACCCGTAGGGTTGGGTCCACGGCCAAGGGCCCTCCTGCCCGCGAGCAGCGGACGCCCTGTCTGGGTCGCTAAATCCAGCCATGAAAATAAAGGTTCTGCTCAGCTTCCTTGCAGTGCCCGAACGTCACCGCCCTTGGACTCTGGGACGGACAGACCTGGGCTGAAAGGTCAGCCCACCGTGACCCTGGGCAAGTCACCGAGTCTGCCTGAGACTCAGCTTCCTCCTCTGCGAAATGGAGATACAAGCGGCCTTGCGGGGGACCGGGAAGGTTAATTGAAGTAACACGCGGAAAGCGCTCGCCGAGGGCACACAGCATGCAGAGGACTGTTGCACCTACCTGCCTTGCAGACCAAGCCTCACCCATACGTGAGGCTTGGAGAGCCTGCGGTGTGCTCCAGGGGAGGCAAAGTTACAAAGGCCGCAAGCCGAGAACTCTACTGAGCTCCCACTAAGTCCCCAGCGCCTTGCTCAGCACGGTGTCTGTGTTAGTTCCTCTCAACAACCCCTTGAGGAAGCACCTGCTACTGTCCCCATTTACAGAGGGGAAACCTGAGGCTCAGAAGTCATTACTTGTCACTCAGCTGGTGAGCGCGAACCCTAAGGCAGGCATATTCCAGAGCCCAAGTTTCTGTATCCTGACTCACGCTACCTCGTGCCCATTATCTCTGTGTTCGTTCAAATAACCCTGAGGTTATTGGTATTATCCCCATTTTACAGATGAGCAAAGTGACGAAGTCAGGTTCAGACTGGTGGAGTGACTCACAGAGCCGTGCAAGGGCGGGGCTGGAAAGATCCCAGATGCACTGCGACGGCTGGGACTTATTTACCTTATATTACAGAGCACTTGCCACGCACCAGGTGACCTGCTAAGTACTTTCTGACGATTCACTACTGTCATCATCCCCGTTTCACAGGTGGAAAAACTGAGGACAGAATGGTTGAGGACTTTGACAAATGTTGCTTAGCTAAGAGGCAGAGCTGAGATTCAAACTTGAGGAATCTGGCTCCAGGACCCACATCTATACGTGTGTGTGTGTGTGTGTGTGTGTGTGTGTGTGTGAGAGAGAGAGAGAGAGAGAGCGAGAGTCAGGGGATGTGAGTGTTGGTGTGTGCGTGTGCGTGTGTGTGCTTGTATATATCTACGCTGATTAATGGCGTCTCTATTTTTCTTTTCAGAGTGAGGCTGATTCATTCACTTACCCGGATGAATGTTCACATCTCGACTGACTTATTTAATGAGAACAAGTTCATGTGCCAACATGCGAACTGACCCTCAAGCCCCTTCTGCCGAAAGAATTTGGACCGTATCTCGTTCTTGAGTTAACAAGCCCTGGATGAGGATCGCTTGTTTTGCACAGCGATGCCTGTTGGCCTCGGCTAGCGTTCTGACAAGAGGGGGGGTGTGAGAGCTCGTGAGGGAAGACGGGGAAGAAGGACCCCCACAGGGGAGCCAGAGGAGAGCGTGGCACAGTTTATCAAAAGTGATTTTACCCCACTGGCCGTCTTTGCGGACGAGGAAGCCCATGGATGGCAGCGGGGCAGTGGCTCTGCCAAGTTCATCGGCTGATTTACAGCAGAACTGGGGCCCGTTTGTCCAGCTGTCTACGTCTCTCCATCTAGTTCTTCTTCTTCTTCCCGGGTTTCCTCCTTCTCCGCCACTGCCTGCCTGATTCCTTGCTTTTTATTCCAAATATGTAAGTCTCTAATAAACCTACAGACAGGCTGATGCCTGATTTATCCCCAGTTACAGAGGAACCAGAGCCAATGATAAGGTGGATAAAAGGCCCCATGTGCAGTTTTTAGAAATGCTTCCCCAGCACAAACAGCTTAACTCTGTAAAGCTCCCCCAGAATGTTTGCTTAGTGGCTCCATTTTTTAAGAGGCTGACCTTTGCTACAAGACCTTGGGTCCGCTCAGATGATTGCAACATCGCAGGTGGTGGCTCCCCACTGAGTGTGCACGAACCAGCCACTTTGGGACAGCCTTGCCCGGTGTTTAGCGCTCAGGGTCTGGCACCTGGTAGGGGCTCCATAAATACCTAGTGAACGAAGGCATGAATCAGATAATCAATAAGGGTTAGCTTTAGCAAAACAGAATGAGGAGATTAAATCCTCCGAAGGGAGAAACTATCAAATAGCATATCCTCCCTGGCCAAAAAGATCTTGTTATTCTGATCAGAGCTCCCTGTTACCAGAGAGACTGTGCTGCCATTTGGGGGCACGATCCCCCAAAGTAGAGGTTCTGTCCTTCCAGTCCATACCTTAGAGTTTCGCCTGTGTGCCAGCAACTATGCTGGGTAAACACTGGGCGTATAATAGTGAATCCGACAGATGTGGCCCTGCCTTTATGGCGCTCACAGATCACAGGGGAAGGCTGTCTACATTGGGATTTACTAGGCATTCAGCTGCCCTGGGAAGACAGAAGTGAGCCCAAGGCAGGCAAAGACCCCTGAGACCCCACTTATGGGAACAGTGGGTAATCCTCCCCTCCTGAGGGGCCCAGCCGAAGAAAGCAACTGCAGTTTATCGGAGATAAAAAAAACCCCGAACAATCCATACCCTATTTTCTATAGTCCGGAGCCACTGCCCCTAAAACAAGCTAACTAACGAGAACTCAAGGGACCAGTTAAGCCCCAGGACAGCTCCCTGGAGCCCCGAGTACACCCAACACCTGGAGGCCGTCTGGGGGGCTGGGGTCAGGGGTTGACCACGCTGAACATCAGCAAGTCGAGATTCTACTTCCAGCCTTGCTGGCGATGGGCCAGTGATGTGCTCGTGGCCTGGACGAGCCCCTGCCCTTTCTGAGTTGTCCGGGTTGCGTGAGATGAGCCCTGAGTCCCTTCCAGCTCAGACCTTCTGCGGCTCTATGAAGCGCCTCTCTCTTCCCTGTCCTCCCTGGATCATGATGTGCCCGGGTTGTCCTGCGTAACTCTCAGTAGTGTGCACCCGCCCTCAAAAGCAAGCTTCCTGGGGAAGGACTGGCCACAGGGCGCACAAAGACTCGGCCGACCCCAGGCTGGGAGGGGAGGCAAAATACCAGTGCCGGTGGTCTATGGGGAGCAGGTGGGCACGGGGCTCAGGTAGACCCTGCCTCTCCACACTTGGCCTTCCTGTGGCTTGCCAGAGATGGCGATCCAGGCTCTTTCTCTGTGTCATCCGTAGGGGAGCCCACTTCTACGAGGTGTTTCCCCACAGAGCACCCCACCCCTACACAGACCCCTGGGAACCAGGGTGGAATACCGGTCAGAGGTCAGGCCTGCATTTGCCCTTGCCGTCTTCAGAGTAAAAGCCAAAGTTCCGACAATGACCTACCAGGCCCAGCCTCATCCTTCCCCCACCCATTGCCTTATATCATCTCCCATCTTCCACCTTGCTTACTATGCTACAGCCATAGGGGCTCTTGGCCATTCCTCCAACACCTGCATGCCAGACACGTTTGCACCCCAGGGCCTTTGCACTCCCTGTTCCCACTCCCTGGACGCTTGCCCTGGATAGCAACATGACTCACAGTCTCATCTCTCCCAAGCCTTCCCATAAAGGTCACCTTTGCAGCAAGGATTACCCTGCCCACCCCATTTAAAATTGCAATCCTAAGACCACTAATCCAGCCCTCGTTTTCATAGGACTTGGAGTCTTCTAAGGTTCTGTCTCATGCGTTCATTCATTCTGTTAGCAGATAAGCTTGTTGTGGATGGAGGTCACTGTTTTGTTCACTGCTGTATCCCTGTACCTGGAACGATGCCCGGCACAAAGAAGACACAGGATGGGGAATGAACGAACGGATGGTTACCTCGGACTGGGGCTCATTGAGAGCCGAGGCAGTGTTGGCCCTGACTGGGGACTTCCCGGTGCTAAGCCCAGTGCTAGGCACCGGAAGCCAGTTAGCTGCTCCATCACTGAGCTGCCATCGGTACAACAGGAGCTCACAGTTACTCAGCACTCACAAGGCCAGGGGCTGTTCTCAGTGCTTTGGATTTACGAAACCATTTAATCGCTGCAACTACCCTCAGTGCGGGGGCCTGATATCAGCCCCACGTCCAGAGGGGGCACAGAACACTGAAGTGGGTTTCCCAAAGTCTCGGTGTTGGCAGGTGGCAGAGCGGAGCTTGGGTTCAGGGGCCTGGGCTGCCCTCAGGGAGCCCACAGACCGATGGAGGGGACAGACACCACTTTGGTGACTTGTGCAGAGACCAAAGGACAATCCAGGCAGGCCAAGGAAGCAAAGAAGAGACCCTGACACCAAATACAACCAGAGAAGCCAAGAAAGGCTTTGCATGAAAAGCGATGCTTCATCGGCTCTTAAGGGATGTATAGGAGTCCGCCAGCAGATGAAAGGGGGATGAGGTCCCGCGTCAAAGGGAGGAGGGTATGAAACAGCCTGAGAACCTTCTGGGGATTGCGAGGGATTCATAATGATGAAATCATGGGATGCCCGTGGCAGAGGGCGTGGGAAGCCAAGCCAGAGAAGTAGGTAGCAACCTGTGAGTGCTAAGCTAAAGAATTTGGCTTTATGAGTTTTGGAGGCCAGGGGCTCAAGTGGGGTAGTGAATTCATTCATTCATTCAACATACATTTTTAAAATGTTTGCTATGGAACAGGCACAGTCCCACGTCTGGGACCTGCGTTTGGAGCTCACTTCTAGGAGATAGGAAAGGTGGCTGGCTCAAATCCTGACTCACAGCAGAGGTTCTATGGGTGACCGCTAATGGAATGAATGAATGAATGAATGAATGAACGAACTTCATTCCTCTACCCACCTCTCTAGGCATGAAAATGAAACATGGCATAGAAGCTTTGCGCCCTATTCCTCCAAGCACCCACTCCTCTGCCCACCCCCTACAAAGGAATGACAAAAAGAGAGACCCATTAGGACCTGGGTAGACTTCCAGAGACCATCACCAAGGGCAAACGCCTCTCCCCTGCTCAGGTTCATCACTGGCCCTGGTGCTCCTCACAGAGGAAGACAACCTGACCCTCGCCTCCTGGTGCCCCTTCTCCCTGCCTGCGCTCAAGTCCCCAGGACAGTAAATCGCAGGACAGAAAAGACAGGACAGGTAAGCTTGCTTGTTTGTGGGAAGGTTCATTTTCTTCTTATTATTAAATGTTTATTTATTTTTTACAGAGAGAGAAAGAGAGACACAGAGCGCAAGCAGGGGAGGGGCAGAGAGAGAGGGAGACACAGAATCTGAAACAGGCTCCAGGCTCTGGGCTGTCAGCTCAGAGCCCGACGCGGGGCTCGAACCCACAAACCGCGAGATGGTGATTTGATCTGAAGGCAGCCGCTTAACCGACTGAGCCCCCCAGGTGTCCCTGTGGGAGGGTTCATTTCCAAGCGGGACTTAGAAACGGGATTTATTTTCTTTAAATCTCCCGCCTGCCCTTTTGCTTCAATTTCCTCTCGTTCATCTTTTGTTTACAGAGGTCTGTTTGAGCCTCCCGGGGACACACGGAGAGGCCCCCCCGAGAGGCAGGCAGGCGGGCAGATGTTTATCGTGTGCCTAGCGCATGCAGGGCAGCATCCTAGAAGTCACGTCAGAGGGCAGGCCAGGAGAACGAGCGCGACCGCCAGCAATGCTCTCAGCCAGGAGCTCTGTTCCCAGCTCTATGCGTGTCAGCTCACTGAATCCACAGACAGCTCTTATCAGCCACTCCTACGATTACAGTCCATTTCACAGAAGAGGACCCTATGGCTCTGAAGGGAGGGTTACTTGTCCAGGGCACAGTGCCCTCGACCATGACTCTGTGACAGGACAGGAGGCCCATGCCTGGGTCTGGGGTGGGAGCGGGTGGTTAGTAGCAGGTGCGACAGGGACTATCTATGTGCACCTGCTCACAGCATAAGCAGAGCCTGTTCATGCACAAGGTGCGTGTGGTTGTTTCAAAATATGTCCCCAAGTCCCTTCAAAGGTAGAGCCTAATCCCCTTTCCTTGGAGCGTGAGCCTGACTTAGTGATTCCTTGTAACAAATAGAACGTGACAGAAGTGACTACGTGTGACTTCTGGGACTAGATCACGAAAGGCATTTCAGCTTCCTCTTTCCTTCCTCTCTCTGTCTGTCTCTGTCGGTCTCTCTCATGACTCACTCTTGGGAAGCCAGCTTGCACGAGAAGAGGTCCATGTGGTGAGGAACTGAGGCCAACAGCCACACGGGTCTGCCATCTTGGAAACAGGTCCCCCAGCCTCAGTCCCGCTTTCAGATGACCACAGCCCCAGCTGACCTCTTGACCACAAGTTCACAAGATGCCCCAAACCAAACAACCTGGCCAAACATCATGAGTCCCCGACCCACAGAACTGTGTGAGAGATTGTTTTATGCCTCTAACCGTGGGGCTGATTTGTTTTTGCAGCCCTGGATAATTAACGGAGGGCGGGCTGGCCTTGGGAGGGAGATGCTCCCGGGACCTTAGGGCGAGGAGGGCAGAGGAGGGGGCTCCATGGAGGACGGCTGTCCCTCGAGTGGATGCGTTGGATGTAAAGGGACTATGATGATGATGCTGCCTGCCGGGGGGGGGGGGGGTTGCATATACTTGCTGAGCTTCTCCTGCTTTACTGGTATCGTCTTCATAACAGCCCTGTGTAGTGAGGATTCTTTGTCACCCTCTACTTAAAGATAAGGAGACAGAGGCTCAGAGGGGTCAAACGTGCTCCCTGAGGTCACAGAGTCCATGCAGAACAGTCAGGACTTGGCCAGGGGCAGGCTGAACCCAAAGCTTGTGCCCTCAACCACTATGCTGCCTTGAGACGGGAAAGCGTGGTCTTCAGAGGGATCTCAGGGTGGGGGAACGTGAGAGAGGGCCAGGTGGGTTGGTAGCAGTCTGCTGCTGCGGAAAGAAAGAGCTGGAAGTACTGGGGGGCTTAGCAGGCTTCCAAGTCCAGCCATGAGCAAAGGCCGTGTGGGTGGTCACGACAGGGACAGGGACACCTTCCCACCGTGCTAAATGGCCCCAGGAAGTAGGTGGCACGGGTTCACAATGTGTGCCGTTGCTGCGGGAGCTTAGGGTTGGCCCATTTGACGGGGTAAAGCCAGGCCGGCCCCCAACTACAGTGAAATACTACGGAAATGCATTTCCCCCTCATGGGATAGCTCCAACATTAACACGCTTCTTCTAAAGCTTTTCCACCAAAGTCACTGCCATTTGAAAATGAGTCCCCGGGATCGTCGGGGTCTAGCCAGGAGGAAGGGGCAGGCAAATACGGACACGGTCCACCCAGGGCCTTGAAGGAGGACCTGGGAGGAGCACCATGCCTTCCACTCACCGTCTTTTGGTCAGAACCCGTTCGGCGGCCATGTCCAGGTGCAGAGAAGGAGCCACCTGCAGTCACGAACATACGGAGGAAAAGGACACAGGTTCGGGGAGCCACCAGCAGCCTCTGCAACAGGGGGATACTGGATGGGGCTTGACCCAACAGGCAGGAGACTGTAAGCTGAATCCAGACTGACCCCCTTTTTGACCTTTGAAAGGTAATGGACATCTTCGAGAACCTTGAGAACGCCCCCCAGAAAAGTATGCCTACACGTAACTGTGATGGACTGAATGCCCCTGTCCCCTGCCCCTTCCCCACCAAAGGCCTATGCCGAAGCCCTCATTTCCAACGGAAGGGGAGCCTTTGGGAGGTAATTAGGGGGTGAAGTCTTGAGGGTGGCACCCCTGTGAGGGGGTTGGTGCTCTTCCAAGAAGAGAAAGAGACCCGGAGCTTCCTCTTTCCACCACGTGAGGATACAGTGAAAAAGCAGCCATTTGCAAATCAGGAAGAGGGTCCTCACCAGATGCCAAATCTGCGGGGACCTTGACCTTGGACTTCCCAGCTTCCAGAACTGTGAAAAATAAACGTTCCGTTGTTTAAGCCACCCAGTCGATGGTATTTTGTTATAGCTGCCCGAGCGGACTAAGACAATCATTTTGCATACAAGTTCAGGAGCTTTACGAAGCCTTTGGCACCCATGCACGTTAGGTTAACAATTCCCGGATTAGAAACGGTTTATAAATGTATTAATCGTTGCAATTGAGGTCTGAGCTTCCCAGCAGCCAAAGCAAAAGGGGGATAGTGGGTTCTATAGCTCTCATTTGTCTCAGGGGTTGGGGCGGGGAGAGAATTACCAAATCCTTTGAAAAAGAAAAATCTCTTTCCTGGCACCATCGTCTGGGAGAAATGTATCTTTGGGCGGGAAAATAGTATCTCTTATTTTGCCACTAGGCTGGAGCGCGGGTTGCCTGGGAATCCCAACCTGGCAAGATGGCAACGCCACCTTGAAATGCAAAACACGCCCAGCCTCCTTTCCCCAGGGACGCGCTGTCTTCCGCCCCGGGGCGTAAATGCGGCTCAGAGTTTTGAGGCAGGTTGCTAAACAGACGCACACGACATATGGAAGACCCCGGGGGTGCAGCCGCCACCGGGAACCGCTCCCAGCCGCCAACCTGCTGCCACCGCCACCGCCGCGCCTGGCGGTCCCCACCCCACAGCCCAGACCCACATCCTGCCTGGCTGCCCTGCGAAGGAGACCGGGGGCAGGGTCGGGGTGACCTTTCCGGGAGCGGACAAGGGTC